TAACTAAGACGCCGGGGTATCCCCCTCGTCCACGGCTGCTGCAAAGTATCCGAAACGTCGGGCCGTAGTTAAAAATAATACTACTAATTTAGTTAAACTTGTTTTTAACTAAAATATATCGCATTTGAAACCGTTAAAGTATTTTCTTTAAATGAGTACTAGGTACTCGTGTAAACTGCAGACAGTATGTTTGTTGTTGTTTATATTTTATTACACAAATATTAATTTTTAGTTTTCTAGAATTGACTATGTATAATTATGTTTGTATGTTTGGCTCGTTATAATGAACTATAAAGCAGTTTATAATTCCATTTCGAAGCGCAATAAACTTTAAAACATCGTAATTTGATATTTCGTTAAAGGAACAAAATAATTACTTTATTAGTATTATAAATGATTCGAACAAGCACTAAAAATTAAGATGGCCGTGATTAATTAAAAGTCATTGTTTTGGGCCTAATATTTTATGACGCAAATTTAAAATAGTCAAACGTCCATTTAGAGACATAAAATTTATTTTAATAGGATTTCGTGGGATTGGTTTTAAATATTACTGGAACTTCCTACAGGATTTATTTTATTGATGTTCTTGTGGTGTATGTGGTAGACAATGGAAAGATTGTAGATAGGTATCCACTGATTGGAAAAAAAAATAGATATTACCGACTAATATAAGTATTGTTTATTTTTAATTACTCGACAAACAAATAATAGATTTATTATTATTCTAGTGGGCTCAAGCTAATATTTTTCGTGATTAGTTGTTATTTAGCTACTTATAAAAATGTTTCATACAAGTGTGTATATGTAGGATAGGTTAAGTGTTATTATTACGGCATTTTTTACGGGATAAGATCCTTAAGTAATTTAAATAAAACACATTTAACGGTTTAAAACGCGAAATACATTTTTAATTCATTTCAACTGCGATCGGACGTTCTTGACGCAGTCGTGGTTATTGTCCTCGTGAAGTTACCGGATATACTACAGACCACAGACTACTACAGACAATACCTATCCTTTAGTAAGCGATATTAATATTACAAGATTACATACTTATCTAGTCTATGTCTAGGTAGCTCAAAAGTTTCAAAGAAAACAACTTGCTTCATTGAGTACAAGAGTCCGAAGATCAGGTATCTCAAGGTGACGCGTCATGATTTGTGTTTATAGCGCATTGTTCTAACATCTTCTTATTGACTTATTTATTGGGAGTTGTAAAAACATTTGTTTAGAGTTTTATCGTTGCCATTATCTTAAGATATGTTTTAGGATCATTTTTACGTTTATTAAGCTTTTTAATAACCTTGGATTCGTGGCATGTTACTTAAATGCATTGCGTTTTTATTTTATTACTAATACGCACTATTATTTGGAGCCAAAACAACATACAATGATAAAGAATAAAAAACTAATCATTTCTTCATCTAATTACTGATATGATAGTACAGTTAAAAACACTAACTTGCTAATAGTGTACCTACGGACAATACAGATAACTACAGAATTATTTAAATGAGTTCTAACGGTATAAAACGCAAAACGTGTCAGTTAACCTATTTTTAATTTAATTTAACTACAGCCCGACGTTTTGCATGTTTGAGCATCTTGATCCCCGGAGGCCCGTTGTTTGTTAAACCATTAAAAGTTTTTTATTTAAATGCGTACTAATCATGTCAATTACAGACAATACTTCAAATTTATTGATCTACGTCTTCTCTACAGTATTATAATCTGTGATTTAGTTTGAACTGGAGTTTATAGAAGCTAACTTGATGGGGAAGACCAAGGTGGGGTACATTATATTAATGTAAACCCCACCTATTTTGGCTTCGGATATTCGGATAGTTATTTGATTGCGTACTCGCGTCCCCCGTGAAACCAATTAAAATTGTTTTATTTAAATAAAGAAACCAATTTCCGTAAATAAATCATTTGTTAAATCCACGTAACTGAAGCCGTTGGATATTTGAAAAACGCGTCTTTGTAAATAACTGAGAAATATTAATTAGTTGGTGGGCGCTGTGGGTGAATATATAAATCAAGTGACGGATGGACGGACGGACAGCAGTAAATCTAGTTCAAGTCCGTCAATCGAGAGGCGTCGTTAAAAATTTCACTATCCGCTTGATTGCTCTCGAATACTTTTCACTTTTGGGTGGCATTTTTATTGTCTGCCTACGTATTACTGTTTTAAGCAGTCGACCTAATCTTACTTTGAAATCGAAATTAATTTCAACAGAAAACCACAATATACAAGTACTGACTCTTATAAAGATTAAAATTTACTTATAAAACCTATAAACAGGGACATGTTATGGGCTCTGGGCTGGACACATCGCTCGTAGAACTGACGGCTGTTGGAAAAGAGAGTTACTGGAGGGGATACCACGTACTGGACACGTAAGACTTGGTGAAGATAGCTGGAAAACGTGGGATTCAAATAGCGAACGACCAGCTCGTATTGGAAGTCTTTGGACCAGAAGTGTAAACCGAATGGCTAACACGAGAACGAACGAACGTTAAATTTTTAAACGTAATTCACGTATTGCTTTTAAAAATATATATATATTGTGTATAAAAAGTAAAGTACTGTTAAATCAAATATAATCATGTTAAACGACCTCAGTCGAATTATTGTTAATATTACCTGTCAGTTAATATTAACACTAGTTCGATAATGATATAACAATATAAATAATATATAAGAGTGTCTGGTTTATTCTTTCTACGCCTACGCTGTTCCGATCCCACATAAGCAATCTAACATATAAGAATTCGGAAATAGCATGAAATAAATTCAATCTTCACGCATCCCGCAGAATCCCTTAACAGTAAGAAATCACAAACCAAATTACCTAACATAGGTACCCCTAGTTTAAAATGGAGTCATAAATAAAACGTACCTTATCGCCTCTGCCACAACAAAAGAATACCCCCTTTGGATATCTCCGTCCTTCTCTGTTGTACCATTAAACTCACCTATCTCATTCCGACATCGAAATACCGATGTTTTACACATAACTACAAGCCGCATTCGCAAGTCGTTCACATTTCGCACCATGGATCAAAATACGTCTCTATTCAGGTTTGATACGGGTCAATTTGCCTTGGATCTCTGTTGTATCGGTTGTCATGACAACGGGGGGAGCGTCGCGATTTTTGCTCGACGCCTCCTTCGATTGCTTTGAAGGTTTTTCTGATCGCTTGCAGCTGAGAGTAGCTCTGTTATGTACTGATAGGGTTGCCACACTAGTTTTAAACACCTTTTAAAGATTATTAGTATCTCTAAAAAGAGTTATTGCATGACTACTATCTTGATATACTACTTAGTTAGTTTTATTCCTAACAAAGTAAGATCAATTATAGCAAATAATTTGTAACTTATTCAGACTTTCTCTTTGTTCCTGTAGGCAGCTATTTTTTTTTATGTTTCAATAGACTAAAAATCTACCTCGCATGAGTGAATTGGTTCTTGATTTTCACGCCTCAAAACAATTCATAGTTTTTATTTAAAAGGTTTAAAGTTTTGACAGCCCTACATGCGATAGGTTGTCTCCAGCGATGTGATGCTGATGGTGAAAACAAATTGCGACGCTACAATGCTCTAAGATACCGGATATTACGTCACTGGAACATTTTGTTTGTCAATGCCTTTGAGTATAATGTCTTCCAGACTCTATTTGAACAATAAACTATTTTAAAAGGCGGATGTTGAAAATAAAGTAAAAGGTCTGACTCTCCCTAAAATTAACTATGGTATGTTTGTAAAAGCTAAGTCGTTTTAACAGAAATAAAAATAAATAAATTATGATTTTGAGTAATTTAGTCGTAAATATAGCTCATATTTGACATTTAAGAGCCTATAGAAAATTAATAAATATTTCCAATTGTTCCTAACCAAACTGATCAGTTGTATCATCTTTTTCAATGATTATTTAGGTACATTTTATTTATATTATATTATACTCATGCATTGCCAAGTGATGCCTTAAGCGCCAGTTGTTCTAGGTTCGAACGCCGTTAACGCAATAATGTTAAACATTAGAACATAATGCTATTTTTTTCAACAGTGTGTGGTAAATAAAAATCATATATATTTTTCTAGACGTTTATTTCAAACATAATAGGTAGGATTTCCACGCTGCCTTGTGCTTTTATACATTTAATGACTGAGCCGAGAGAACTGCGTAAACGAAGCAATATATTGGGCTAATATAAACATTCAGTCAATTTATTTAAGACAAGAAATTAACAGTAATTTGTGCTTTGATTTTAAATTATTCTAAACCTACCCGAAGTATGTAGTTGCTATTAAAAAATAAAACTTTTTAGTTTTTAATTAAACTCTATCTGTAAATAATTGAGGATAGAGGGGTAATCTGGTTAAGCGATATTGTAAATAATACATGCAGTGTGATTACTTTCAGGTAGATTTAGGCGTGGGTACAACTACTTTATAATATATTTACTTTAAATTCGTTTTATATCTATTTACAATACCTTATAATAGACATATTGCATAGATTATAGAAGTAATTTAATTATAAATACTGTATGTACAAAAACATACGTTTACTTATTTAAAAACTAACTTTATTATTTGTGTCTGTGTCTAATTACGCATAATGTTCGGAGGTAAATAGGCAGATAAATTGTACATAAAGATTTTTAAGCTAAACATATAAAATAAAATACATCTGGGACCATATATTATCGAATTAGTTTTGGAATCTAATTAATTTAAGTTTCGAGACTTATGTTAATCTTATGTTTATTATTTAAGGAATCTTTGCTTAATATTTAAGTCCCCTATACAAAATTGGCACCGAGACACTTATTACAAATGTACATTAGCAAACACTACGATGTAGTTTTTAATTATTACATTCAAATAAATTACTTACACATATCACATTTCTATATTAAATATTTACACATGTTTATACATTAAGCGCGTTTAAAATACCAAGGTATTTTTACACATTATCATGATCATCTCAGAAGTGATAGTACGCGAAATTGATAGGTTCATCAGAGTTAACATCATCACTGTCCACATTGTCACTTTTCTGACCTTTGTCGTAACGCCAATTGGACAGGTCGCATGGCGCGTCATTCGTGTCCTTGTAGTCATAGTTATAGTAGTATTGAACACTGCCACTATTGTCCTTATAGGTGTCGGTCTGATCCCAGGCGCGGGGGGGCATTGGGTCCGCGCCAGGGGGGAGATCACTGTCGATGATGCGGCATGTGCATATGCAAGTCGAGGCGCGGCCGTTTGGCGTCGTCGTCGTCGCTGCATGGCTCCGCATCGTGCGATTCCTGCTCGTCACATTCTTCCCCGAGCTCCTCTTGTTTACGTTTGGCCGTCGCCATTTCGGCAGCGTGCTTTTTCCGCCATTTTGTTCTTCTGTTCTGGAACCACACCTATAAGAAAACACAAGAGTTGCATGAGAAGATTTTGATACAATTCCTAATTAATTTGTGTGAGTTTCTCAATCACATAACATTATTATAGTCTAGGTCTAGGTAGTATGGGGTACTATAGTCTGTAAAATAACCAAAAATGTATAACGCTCAGAGTTTTAATTGAATTACAGAGGTCTAGTGTCCATTTGCACTAAACATCTGTAAACTTAGCATGTAATTTACAATTGTTTATTTTTATGCTAAAATATTTTTTTATATTAGTTAATCCATGCCGTATTGGAATCTTATAATCACTATGCGAATATTATGTTTACTTATCTCTTGAAAAAAGTATTAAAATTGCCAAACAAACAAACGCTACACTGAAAAGACATTTCAGATCTGAAAGTGCGCCGCTAAGCTATTTGTCTCCTGGAAGCCAAATATAAAGAGCAGGTCAACATCCCGCCGTGTGGACCTAATCTCCACCACCGACATCATAATGCCTCATTAAACACCTTTAAAGTCGCAATGGCACCCTCCGTCCGTCCCTGTCCTCCTCGTCTATTCTTTCGTAGGGGGATAAGGACGGAGATAGTAGCACGGTAATTAAGGGTCGTTTTGCAAATTACACGGTACTTAACCAGCCATATAACACTCATTAATCACGAATATTCTGTCTCGCTTCTGCTCGCCGAGGACGCGTCACGTCGTCCCTCTCTCTCTGGCTCCGGACGTTAGACAGGGGTTTAATTAGGTCATAAATACATTTTCATGATTAGAGCCTCCAGTTTGTCGATCCTGAATATTTGGGCAGATGTCGAGGTTATTAAAGCAAAATTCTGGTTGCTGGTAGCTTGATCTTACGTTATCTTTTTAGAATAGGGCTTTTTTGAATACTTATTAATAAAGGAATATTTAGATTGTTGCCTAGTGTACACCTAAAGAGTACCAACATACTAGTGTCTAGAGTACCAACATAATAGGAATCTATCTGGAGTAGGTACTAATTCTGGATTATTACAATATTGCGTTGTTAGCAAAAGTATTGTATTACCTCATGGTGTTCTAGAAATAGTTATTATATATCATATTATGTCGGTTTTTTTTTTATGTTAGAGGAGAACAGACGAGCGTGGGTTTCACTCAACGGAAAGTGGACCTTCATTTAACATCTGAAAAGGATCTGCTGTCGACCAATTTTGGCTTTGGATCTTCGGACATATTGATTTCAGATGTAAAATGACACACGACATAGGATAGCAAAATCGTCATCCTCATTAACTCTGGCGAAGTACGTCATTAACTCGTTGGCAAATGACATTGGAATCTTGGCGTTTACTTGATCGTACGTGAAATGCCCCAGCCCAGCATCTAAACAAGATGCGCTGCCGGCCTATTTCGGGCTTTGGATATTCGGATATCCACAGATTGAACTTCACGGCTTTTTCGTCGGTGGACGTCTGGTGGAGTTTTGATATTCATACCACCCATTTAATATTCAGATTTTCAGACGAAGTCCAACATGTTTCATAAAAATTACAAATTTAGAAAACCCGTTGGGGATTTTTTACCCGGTGGCGATAGAACCCACGACCCGTTGAAAATTTACCGTACATTGCAACCATTACACCAACACGCCCGTCAAAATCGAACCGTTGTTTTAGAAAAGGTCGATATCCTAACGAGTTTTACCATCGCTTGACATCACGAGATATTATACACATAGATAATAATAAGAGCATATCTGGAAATCGAACAGCCGACCTCGCAGACTCTAGTTGAGTGCATCCAAATTGTTTTCCAATTTTAGAAACGGTTAGTTTAGATTTTAGTTAGGTTAGTTAAAATACCTACCGGCTCGTATAATAAAGAATAAGTTTAAGAAAGGACATATAATTAAAGTATTTGTGTAATATTTTAACAGTTCAAAGCTATATAACAATTATTATTGCTATAGACATCGATGTCGGTTGATAGAGACTGCCATAACCTAGAAGATATAGCCACTGGTACACGCTGTAACGTAGTCGTTTGAGGCGATACGCAGATGTTTAACGACGCTCCAAATATCGCTTTATTAATTTTTCAGGCGCGGTCTAAGTTATAAGCGGATGTTACAAAATATTATTAAAAGAATGTTTGTTACTATTAATGTAACGGTACACATAGCTCAATGCTGAAGAAGCAGCTGAAACGCCTTAGGCGTTTGTTTGATTGATTATTTTTAAATTTAAAATTTCTTTACATATTTTCGCTTGCTTTGTAAAACGTTATTTGTATAAATACTGTTGTTTACTCATTTAAATAAAACACTTTAAAGGTTTCAAACGCGAAGTATATTAGTTAATCTTGTTTACCAATTATTTTTAACTACGGCTTGACGTTTCGGTTGCTTTGCGTGGCACGTTTATGAACAGAATGAACTATATTTCGTGTTTTAAACGGTTAAAGTGTTTTATTTAAATGTTAATTATTTTAATGGTAGTATACACATAGCTCAAATATAATTACTCAAACGTTGACGTATCTATATGCGTATTTATATTATTTATTGTTATTTTAAATATATAAGAAAGAAATGTAATTTGAAAAGATAAATTTGTAGTCACAGACAGTTTACGCGAGTGGTGCACATTAAAAAAAACATTTTTTGATAGTTTAAATAGGTATTGTATCTTTTTTGAAATTATTAGTGTAAGAGCTGCCCGCAATTATATTTTGACGTTGGCGCTTATTAATTAGACCAAGAGCGCAACTCGGGCTGACGTCATAAATACCTCGGGAGCTGCAGTTTATTGCAAGGTTTACAGCCTCTTGATGTATTTAGGGTTTTGTCAAGATAACGCCATAATGGCTAATTGGAGGACTCGTTTAGGGCTCTACTTTTATTGGTTATGGAACACGTGTCAATTAGTTTTCTCACTTTTATTGATTGATGGCGAATGCTGGTATTATTTTAATTAGGAAGCACCTCCGGAAGGCAAGAATTCGTATTGACAGAGATATGTAATGCGGATAGCTTTAAAGTTATCTTAATACTGTCTGAAGTTTATGCGAGTGTACACATTAGAACATAACACTTCAACGGTTTAAAACACGAAATATATTAGTTAAACTAATTAAAAAAACATATATTAATTTCGGCTAGACATTTTGTCACGGAGAGTCGTAAAGTAGGTAAACGTCGGGCTGTAGTTAAAATAATGTTTTAAAAAGTTTAACTAATATATTTCCCGTTTTAAACCGTTAAAGTGTTTTATTTAATATCAAATTAACCTTTCAAATTTTTGACAAAAACTTAAAATGAGTTAGTTATACAATTAAAACTAAACTGTAATAGAAAATTAAATGAAAAATATTTCAAACAAAAAAATAATAATAGTGGTTATACTAATATTAATTTATTTTGTGTTTTAGTTCCTATAACCTTATTGATTAACAGTAAGGAAATACAGTGATGTCCTTTAATACTCTTTATAAAGTGTCGTTCGACGTGCTATCACCGTGTAGTATATATTGTCTGAACAATCTTCAGAGAAGAACGAAATAAACTCGTACGACCCTCATAAAAAGTGTTGACGACAACAAAACAAGAAATATTACACGTTATTACTGCATCGTACACTTTTATAGGAATGTATGAAGCGTTATGCTTGTCTATCTCTTTACTCGACGAGAGTTATATGTCAAAAGTAAAAGTGTACTATAAGTACTCCAATTGAGAAATACAGTTACAGCCACTAATACTGTAATTCTGAAAAAAAACGGAAAGATACCGAACAGATTTTGCTAAATCCATACAATAGTATGCACGTAGTGATACAAGTACAGTAGCACGTTTTGTTAAATAAAAAAAAATAAGATTATTTTTTTACAAACGATACGTTCACAAGTTAAAACAATTGATTTTTAAACAAATTAAAGAAATAAATTTGTTAGTTGATAAGCATGCGAAACGTCAAACAATAGTTAAAATAAATTATGTAATAAGTAAATGAGTTAGTCAATACGTTTCGCGTTTTAATTCGTTAATGTTTTATGGGTACTACTCGCGTACACTAAGCACTACTTAATTTAAAACTCATAATACCCACTTTCCAATTATGGGGGTAGAATTAATGAGAACAACTAAATAGTTTATTTTATAATGTATTAATACTTTTTATTAACATAACTGAAGAGTTTCAAAGTGAAGTATTTTTATGTGGCATAGTTTTATTATGGACCCATCACTTTGATAAGCGATAACCGAGTCTCAGTGGATATCACCAAAACATACCATATTCTTATATTTTACGAGCAAACTTTACTGTTTCCCTACATTATTATTTATATTATTATTTTCGCCGTTCTCACCCCTATTCAATTACTTAAGTGGTGCGAATCGCGAGAAATATATCTATCTCTTTCTGTGCTGAAAATAATGAGTTTATGGCTTGATTATTATGTTATATTTTAACCCCTCGAAGGAGAAAACGGTCTTTATATATATTCTTATAAATATAAGAATGCACTGCTAGTTGAGTATACAGCTAATATTTTATTTTATTTTTAGGGCTGGATAAAAACGACTTTTTGTTTTTTTTAACAGGTAAACTAAAATAAACAACATTTATTCGATACTAGTCAAAGAGGTTTTTTTATGATAGAGTAGAACAGACAAGCAAAGCTTATTTTGGCTTTGGATACTCGGAAATCTACAGACTGAAACCGAAACGCGATTAAACTTAACCGCGGTCACAGTACAATGACAGGCTATTGTCAGAACCAAAATATAAACCGCATGGAAAAAGTCAATATGACTATAGTATTGAAACTATACGTATATGCTATTGTGATCGTACAATTGTGTGGTGCAAATACTGTATGTAGTTTACGCGTGAAGTACATATTGAAATAAACTTTAACGGTTTAAAACGCGATATATATTAGTTAAACTTATTTGGAAATTATTTAATCTACGTTGGATCGCGTTTTAAACCGTTAATATGTTTTATTTAAAAGTGCGGTAGAAGTCAAACAGTGACAGGGCATTGTAAATAGAAATTGGACTACTTAACTACTAAATCTAATTGACAAGAATTATTAGCGCCAACAATTTCAACTAAAATTCCTTGAAAAACGAGCCAAAAAGGTGTCATTAGGCTAAACAAACAGATATCAGAACTGCGTCATTTATTTACGTAAAGGGGTGTGATAAGGGCGTGACAAATGACGATCGCTAATGATCACAGGCTTAGTGCTGACGTGGATGGACTTGGTGCCGAGATACTGAGACCAAGGGAAAATAATAGATTCTCATGTTTTTTCTTTTATAGTATTACTAGTTCGAAGAATTTATATGAAACGCTTTAACGGTTTAAAACGCGATATATATTATTTGAACCTATTTGGAAATTATTTTAACTACCGTTTTAGATGCTTTGCAGTAGCGGTGGTCACGGGGAGACTAAAGATGAAGGGTGTCTCCGATGTCAAAGTAAAAATTATTACACTATCGCCATGTGTTCCATCGTGCTTGCGAATTGTCTAACGGTGTTCGAAAGGCTAAGTTTCTTCTAAGTCATTAACTATGTAAGTAACTTTCCTAAATAAAACACTTTTAATGCTCACGACTGCTGCAAAGTATCCGTCGGATCGGAGATAAAAATCAATAATAAACTTAAAAAATATATTTCAGCGGTTAAAATTGTAACAGACTATATGTATTTTTTGTTCAGATGGACTTACATTGTCTATACAAGAGATATTGAGTTTTTACTTCTCAAGTACCCTTTATTGCTGCAGCCCTACACAAATCCAGTTAGTAATCCAGCAGTAACTAATCAATTGGGCTACCTTGTACGCTGAGAATACCGATTCAAGTGGCATCCGTATCGTATTTTTTTTTAATTTAAAGGATGTCTAATTTATATAATCGTGTATAATCGTGTACACTTGAAACGTGAAAATAAATTGAAAAAAAATTTCGACTCGGGCAGGACTTGAACCGGCATCGTTCGCGTTCCGTGCTGTTGCTTACAATTAGTGAGTCCGACTCGGTAGCTCAATTTATTTCG